TCTGTGTTGGAGGTGACAAGTCCAGAATCAAGTGCTAGCAGTTTTGTTGTTTGGGGAGGTCTTGCTTTGATTTCTATCGGCACCTTCCCACTATGTCCTCACTTGGCAGAAGGGGAGAACAAGTTGTCTTGGGCCTATTTCACAATTCCCACACCCAGTCCACTCCCAAAGATTCATCACTTTCAGACTGGCTTGCTTGTTTGCTTGCTTGCTTTTTCAATCAAATCTCAGATAGTAGACGGATTTTATTAGTGATGCATTTTGTGTGTGTGTGTGTGTGTGTGTGTGTGTGTTGGGGACTGAGCTAGTGCATTAGAACTGAATGCACTAGAGTTTAGAGCAGGCCAGGCAAGCACTCTACCAACTGAGCTCTATCCCCAGCCCATGGAGACTGGCTTTCAATGAATGAATTTGCAACACACAAACTTTCAGGCCAAATACTTACAGTTCCCACATCTAACCCACCCAGGCTACAAACAAAACCAAAGTTCCATATCCCTGAGCCCACCTGGAGATTAAATGTCATCCATTATTAACATTTCAATCTATGGACATACTCATCTATTTCTGTCCCAAGGAGGTGACAGGCCCCATACTTATGAGAAGCAGGACTGGGCTTTTCCATTGGCTTCTGGAGCCTGGGCCAGCTGGGTGCATCCTGGAGAGCCAGGTGGGGTCCTCAGGGTCCTGTCTCCTGAAGTTCTCATTCTCTGTGCCTCTGCAGACACTGTGAGCCCCACACTGACACAATCACAACACAGCTGTGAAGATGTTTCTCTGTGGGGTGTGTCCTGGAAGAGGCCTTGACATGTCAGGAGGTCCAGACACCTAGCAGAAGGGATTCTTGTCTCAGGCTCCCTGAGGACCTCCCCAACCAGAATCTTTCAGAATTTCATCTGTAGCCTCCTGATCATCCCCCACTCATTATGGTATCCAAGTGATTAACTTTCCCTCTCACCTCATTGATGTCCCTAAACTTTTTTGACCCCCCTCCTATAGAAAATGTCTCATCTTTTTTCTCAGTAACCAAAAGTGCCAAATGAAGCTCAATATGCCCTTTTGTTCCTCCAAAGCATTTTCTCTCTGTCGTGGAAAGGCTGTGTCCCTCACTCCATGGACCCTGGAGTCCATGGACCCTATACCCTCCCTCTCACCAACTTGCCTCTTTGTGGCACCAGTTTTCCCAGGAAAGAAAGTTCCCTCTTTCACCCAGTGCATTTAAGCCCAACCACAGGGCACCATGCCCTTTAGGGCTCAAGACTGCCGTGTTTCCCATCCTGGACACCAGGGGGCAGACGAGGATAGCGGTAAGCCTGGGCTGACTGGATCTCTGCAGAGGTGAAAAGACCTTTTAGTTCCTTTTAGTGTATAGGGACTGATGCATAATCCTTCCACTCTGCGCTGCAAACATTCATTGTGCTCCTGCTGCAAACATGCCTCTGTATGATTTTCAGTTCTGAGCATGCACAGGATGCTTCCCAGAGTGGGTCCTCAGAGTGTTTTTCAGACTTTAAGTAGTTTCAGTAGCTCTTTTTAAGAGCTTTTTTTTGGGGAGTGGGAGGTACTGGGGATTGAACTCAGGAGCACTTGACCACTGAGCCACATCCCTAGTCCTATTTTGTATTTTATTAGAGACAGGTCTCACTAAGATGTTTTCCTTGCTAAATCACTGAGGCTGGTTTTGAACTCAAGATCCTTCTGCCTTGACCTCCGGAGCCACTGGGATTATAGGCATGCACCACCATGTCCAGCTTTAAGAGCTTTATTGTGGATCATTTACATGATTTCAATTCACCCATTTGAGCTGCAAATTTGGTAAATTTGAGTAAATGTAGGAGACGTGTGACCAACATCACGTCAGGTTTAGAATAGTTTCAAAACATTCTCATGTGCCCATTTACACTCCGTCATCACCCTGACCTCTGCTCCCTGACAAGTGCCTAATTTCTTTCCATTGCCAAAGATTGCCATTTCTAGAATATCATAGCACAGGAGTCGTTTGTGATTACTGTGTCACTTGCATAATGATTTTGAGATTCAAGTGGCATTTCTTCCCTTTTATTGCATGTACACATCTGCCACACTTTATTCAGTTACCAGTTGATGCACATCTGAGTGACTTCCAGTTGTCCTCCTCCTCCTCCTTCTTTTTTTTTCTTCCTTGTTAGAGGAGACTTAACCCATGGGCACTCTAAAACTGAGGAACTTCTCCATCTCTTTTTATTTTATTTTGAGTTGGGTCTCACTAACTTGCCCAGGTTGGCCTCCAACTTCCAAACCTCATCCTTTGACCTCCTGAGCAGCTGAATTGCAATAAGTGTACCATCAAGCCTGGCTTAGGCTACTTTACATAAACCTTGTGTGGACATTTTCTGAAATCACTTTGTGGACATGTGCTCTTATGTGCTCTTCTCTTTTTTTTTTTTTTTTTCAGTAAAGCCCTGAGATTAGGATCCTCTGGGCCAAAACACTGAGATTGTGTGTAACTTGTTTTTGTTTTTTTAGGGGGGCAGGGGGTAACTGAGGATTTATCCTGGGTGCTTCATTACTGACTACAGATCCAATCCATTTTGAATGTATTTATTTTTTATTTTGAGACTGAGTCTCCCTAAGATGCCGAAGGACTTACTAAGTTTCTAAGTAAGGCTCACCTTAGAAACCAAGTTGCTGGGATTATAGGCATGTGCCACGGCTCCCAACTCTGGGTTGAACATTTAAGGAAAATATCTAGCTATCTTCCAAAATGACTATATCATATTTCATCCCATCAAACAAATATGATGGTGACAGATGCTCCATATTCTCACCAAAACTTGCTTTTATGGGATCTTAAACCTTAAGCCTGTAGCAGCGATCTATCATTACAGATATTTTCCTGGATTTTTACCTTCTACTTAGATCTTGTTTTCTGTATCTCTCTCTCTCTCTCTCTCTCTCTCTCTCTTTCTCTCTCTCCCTC